TTGAGCTCCTGGTGACGCTGCCAATGTCTACCCGAAGCAGCTGTCGCCAATGTCTCTGTTCCCTTCCCCAAACATGCGCTGTGATGGAGTGGGGCGTGTGCTGATGGTGCTGGGGGTAGCTGGAGGGGGTGTAGCCATCACAGCCTGCCTACTGTAGCTTAATGTTCAGCCTCGATTTGGTCCCCTGCCCTCATCACCTGCTTATGAAAAAAAAGCCAGTTCTGAGTCCTCCCCCCTCCCCCCGCTAACCAAACAGACTGCTTAACAGTTCCTGCTCCTTGCAAATTTAACCCCTTTGCTTCCTCCCATACTGCGATTCCCCTCTGCACGTTACACACGTTTTGCCCTTCAACTGAACTGGAAAAATAGATCAAGCCTTATCACTGGAGTTTGGGAACATGGGCAAAGAAAGGAAACTCCCAATCAATCTGGACAGACAAGTTGGAGACCTTATTAATTTGGGTTTTTATGTACTGTATGTATTTCTATTTTAATTAGCTAGTAGATATTTTCATCCAAATACTCTCACATAGCTTTAGAAATATTTAGAAGTTTCTAAACTTTCACTTAAGATATTCTGCTTAAATGAAAACGGCAATCCAGAGAATTTAATTCTATTTTCTTCACTTTTGTGGAACTTCAAAAACATCGACACCCACTGCCTCTTAAAATTCCTAATATTATTTTACTAGTGTGATCTTATACATTTTAACAAATGTTATTTTACACATTTGATTAGATTCTTTATAATAATTTCTATAATAATATCGAAAATTCTGCGTGTTTTTATTTATTTATTTATTGATTTACTTGTGTGTGTTGGTGTACGAGGGGGTTGTTTGCTGTATATGTGGATGCTGACTCTTCTCCTGTAAACAAAATTTACCTACAGCTACAAATAAAGTAACTTTTAAAATGTGTTGCATACTTGTTTGATTATGGTTATTAATATTGCAAATTATCTTCATGAGATAGTTGTCAAACATCCATCCTTCAAAACATTCCAAAGAGACTAATTCTATTTTGAATTTTTTGATATGATTCCACAGTACACCAGAATCCACTTATCTTTGTATCCTTTTTAACTTTTGTTATGCATATTTTATGAAATGAATTCTGGCGTTGCTAAATGAGAGTATGAAAAAACATCTCCTGGGATTTGAAGCCTTAGGATCTGTGCTTCAATTCTATGTCACATATGTATTCTGAACTGTAACAAATTAACTCCAATTTAGTGGGTGTGGTTGACTAGATATAGAATTACCTGGCCTTCTTTAAGGGGGACTGGTCAGAGATCTGAGATCTGAATAATACCCTGTAATTAGGTATTTGCCTTCCAGATATTATCGCCTTTAAAATTTTGCCCCCTTCGTGGAAAATGGAAGTTAATGCTTTTGTAATTATATTTTAGACTCTGTGTGCATTGTGCGTACATTTCAGTGGTTTATTTATATAAGAAAATGCTTACTTCTGGACAAATTCTGGTGATAAATAAATTTAGGCTTTACTGTGTGTCGCTCCTCTAAATGAGTGCATTTTAAAAATGGATCAGTACATCATGTGGGTCATGTCTGCACTGAATCTGACATTGCTGGGATTCATAGTTTATTTCTCAGAGGAACGAGACAGAGGTCTCTAGTCTAGTTAATGTTTAGTTCAAAAATGTGGATTAACTATAAAACTGACCAATACATGTAATTACAGTACCTCCAAACACTGTGTGAAGGTTAATGGTGAAAACCTGAAATACATTAAAATGCACAGTAGTCAATGACATACAGGCACACAGCCAAAGCAGTAAAATATCAAGTTTGAAGCCCCTTTGAAATTAACTTCAGCCCCAGTGAAATCTGCTGATTTTGAGGTGCTGTACTCTCTGCATTTCTTGCTTTGGCCTTGGTGACACAGCCCAAGAGGACTGGAATATAAAAACTTATATTTTGCTCCAAACAATAAGGCAGAAAGCTCTATATTGTACACTGAATGTCAGCTACATTAGTCATCAAAATATCAGATTTGGATGTATGTGTGTGTGGGTCATGTATATATTAACTTGTGGGGACCAAATGTGACCACAATGTCATGAAAACCTGGCATTTTGACGCTGTGGGGACCATTTCCTGGTCCCCACAAGGGGAAACTCAATTTTATAAAGGTCTGTGACTACAATCAAAAAACAAACCTGTGTGTGTGTGTGTGTGTGTGTGTGTGTGTGTGTGTGTGTGCATGTTCATGTTTGCTTGTGATTGCAGGTCAGGATGTGATGATAGCAGTGACTCACAGATGGTTGTAATTTTTGAGGTTTAATTGATAAGTGAATGGATGCCTACGAACCAGAGGTCTATTTTTGTTTGTGGTGGTTTTTGTTATTGTTAATAATAATAGGAAGAAACTTCATAAGAGAAAACTTCATAATAGCATGCAATATTACACATAAATGCACAATATATATAACTGGAACAACTCTGATTAAGTACCTAACTGAAATGTGTCACAGAGATTTGACCTGACAATAATTATCTAGCTAAATGTTGATCACTGAAAGAGCTAAGTTTTTATTTTTCACCAGACTGTCAGCCAATTATACTGATTCAGGAGATAACCTGTAGAATCAAGCTAGACAACTTTTTTCAACATTTTATTTCATTGGGGTGAGCAGGCTTAGTGTGGTTTTTCACACAGAGAACAGAAAACTGTAATCATGTGACAGAAAGTAGGTTATTAATAAATTTAGGAACAATAGCCTAGGCTAGCCCCTCCCCTACACATATATAAACAACCCCCATTGCACAGGATGTCCCCTTCATTTCCAGTCCTCAGCTGCAGGGTGAGAAAACTTTGATGGTACTCTGCAACATCTGCAGTTCTAACCATACTTCCCCCTTCACCATCCACCCTCCTTGCTTCAACCTATTGGACATCGTCACAACAAGTCGGCCAATCAGAGCTTGTTGTCAGGGTAAAACAGAATCATGTGACCTAGGTGGTTGTTTTAGTTTCATAACTGGTTTCTGCAGATATAGGTTTATCATGTAGTTGCGTGATGGGTGTATACGTGTTTCATGAGGAATTACATGTTTTATTGTTGAGGCATTGTGAATTTTGTACATTAAGCATTACCTGTGTTTTCGCTGAAATGTGGCTATATTGAAGATTTAGTCTAAATTGGTTACTGTATAATTTTAATGCAAAGCTTGATGCCAATCTATGTTCTCTGAATGTTGTACTTCTAGTCATTGAATAGTCTTAGTAGATTCTTGCCTTGTTGGAAGATTTTGCGTAGCTCCGGCTTCTAAACGGTTTACACCTGAACCCGGACATTCATCCGGAGCAAAACCATAGCTGTACTTATGCCAAGTCAACTCGTCTAGAGCACGAATGTCTCTAATGTGCTATTTGCCTCACTTGTACGTCACTTTGGACAACAGTCTGCTAAATAAAAATGAATGTAAATCTAATATGTCCTCCTCTTCCATCCACACCTGTTGGAAGCAGGAAAGCTAAAAATGATTGCTGCTTGTCCTTCTGGTCAAAGCACACTAACACATTACAAAGATTTACTGAATTCTTGGCATTCTGGCTTTAGTGACTAATGTAATCCTTAATTAAAATCTATTTTACAGCTCGGCATTTGCTGACGGAATTAGCATTATGGTGTCCGATGGCAGTTCCGGAGTTTTTGCGTTACTAGTTGCTGCCATCTAGTGAGGCTGGTGTGTAAAATGAAACACAATTTTTTCTCTAGCCACCTAAACAGTGAATTGTACCGCTTATCATTGTGATTGACTGTGATAAAAGAACCACACATGCACAAAAAACTATTTGCTGTGCTCCTCCCTCAATCTGCACATTCCAAGAAAATCTAGAAAAAAAAATATTGTTTTGAAACATTATTATATAGGTGCAGTTCCACACGTTACAGATGGCAAAGCGTGCAAGACAATGAGGGAAAACTGATCCACTATTAGAACCCGTTAATATTTGTATTCCACCGTGTTAGACAAATGATTTTTAAATAATAATTTGTTAGCAATATTAAATGTTTAGCATATTTTTGTGTTATTTTGGGAGGTGAGGAGAATTAACAAACAAAATTTTGGTGTTACTTACCATCCTGTCAGTAAAAATGGGTCCCAAGAAGTACTGGTTCTTAATAATGAAGGTATATTCTATTCAATAACTGTTTTGTTATTGTTTGAATAATAAAAAATACAGCATAGTGAACAGGGCAGCATGATAGCACAGTGACTAGCACTGATGCCTCTCACCACTAGGACACAGGTTTGAATCTCATTTGGGGAGAACTTAACTAATAGCTCAGAGTTGCGGGTTGGACGATGGATGGATGGATAGATGTTAAAATCGTATCTAGCTCTGATTTGAAGGAACCCAGGGTTTTAGCTTGCGCTACACTAGCAGAAAGACTATTCAATACTCTAACTACATGCTGTGTAAAGAAGTGCTTCCTCAAATTCATTTTAAAATGGCCACGAGTTCTAGTATTTAAAGTAATATTGAAATAGCCATTTGGCTGAACAGCATCCAGACCTGTTAGATCTAGACAGATCTAGACCTGTCCAGAAATCTATGTTGAAATTAATTGTAGTCACCAAATTGCCCATCTGTGTGTGTGAGTGCATGGTGAGTCAGTGTGCCCTGCAATGGGTTGGTGACCTACCCTGGGCTGTTCCCTCCCTGTGCCTGTAGCCTCTGGGATGGGCTCCAGACCCTCTGTGACCCATAAGCATTTACAGAAAGTGGGTGGATGGATGCTATTGTAGAACATGCTTTTATCACATTTACTGATGATTCTGCATTTTCTGGCCCTAGGGGGGATTTTTATGGTACTTGGGGCCCTAAGCAACCTCCTGTGTCAGTGTTGAACAGTCAGTATTCAGACCCAGTGACTCACCCATGACTCGGGGTCTCATGTCTCCTGTATGTAACATCCAGATCTCTTCTATGGACTCCATAGTACACTGGCTCTGTTTGTTCCACTATCGCTCCAGGAATCCATTTATTCCCTTCCCCTGTGGTATTTTGCAGATACATTGTGTCATCTACAGAGAAAAAGCTATCGGCTGCCCGCTGGCTGTGGTAACATTTTTGCAGGTGACAGACCTGTAGTACAATTTTGAGAAGTGCGTATTGCATCAAAAAGAGGGAGATTTTGTCTCCATGTCCACTGCGGTGTGTGTGCACTTTTTAATCCAACTCTTGAATGTTTGTATAGACCTTTCTGCAAGGCTGTTCATGGCGGGGTGAGGATCCCAGTCTGCAGCAGGAGGTTTTCAAGGGGTGCTGGGGGAGTGGAGGATCCCAGTCTGCAGCAGGAGGTTTTCAAGGGGTGCTGGGGGAGTGGAGGATCCCAGTCTGCAGCAGGAGGTTTTCAAGGGGTGCTGGGGGAGTGGAGGATCCCAGTCTGCAGCAGGAGGTTTTCAAGGGGTGCTGGGGGAGTGGAGGATCCCAGTCTACAGCAGGAGGTTTTCAAACTGCTCAGACATGAACTGCGCTCCATTGTCTGTGGCAATGTGGTCTGGGAGACTATATGCTGCAGTCGTCTTAGTCTCATGATAGAGGCTTGAGAGGTGATGCTGGGCATTCTAAGCATCTCTAACCATTTGGAGTTCGCAAATGAACAGAATTGGTGTCAAAGGGCAGCCATAGTGGAATCCAACACCTACAGGAATGAGTCTGACTTACTGCTGGCGATGCAAAACAAACTCTCGCTCCATTTGTACAAGGACCTGTACCCCATACTCCTACAGGACCCTCCAAGGGATACAAGCCCAGAAAACACATGTAAACTGGTTGAGCATGAACCCTTCAGTATCCTTGTGAGGGTGAACAACTGGTCCAGTGTTCTGTGACCAAGATGGAACCTGCATTGTTCCTCCTAGATCCAAGGTTTGAGCAATGGGCAGACTCTCCTCTCTAGTACCCCAGCATAGACTTTCCCAGGGAGGCTGAGGTTGTGATGCCCCTGAAGTTAGAATACATCCTCCAGTCCCCTTTCTTTAAGACTGGGACCACCACCCCAGTCTGTCACTCCCAAGGTACTGTCCCTAACCTCTACACAATGTTGAAGAGGCGTGTCAGCCAAGACAGCCCAACAATATCAAGAACTTTCAGGAACTCAGGGCGAATCTCATCCACCCCCAGAGCCTTACCACTGGAGAGTTTTTTTTCTACTTCAGTGACCTCAGCTCTATAGATGGGTAAGTCCCCCTCTGAGTCTTCCAGCTCTGCATCCTCCAAGGAAGGTGTATCAGTGGGATTCAGGACGTCATCAAAATACTCCTTCCACTGCTTGACTACATCCCCATTTGAGGCCAACAGATCTCAATCCCTGCTGTAAACAGTGCAAGTAAAGCCTTACTTCCCCCTCCTGAGTCACCTGGCGGTTTGCCAGAATCTTTTCAAAGCTGACCAAAAGTCCTTCTCGCCTCACAGAGCTCCTTCCACTCCCAAGTTCTTGCTTCAACAACTGCTAAAGCCATCTTCCACTTATCTTGCCTGAACCTGTCAGCTGCTTCAGGAGTCCCATAAGCTAAGTAAGCTTGGAAGGCCTCCTTCTTCAGCCTTACAGCTTCCTTTACTGCCCAGGTTTGGGGATTGCCACCACAGCAGGCACCAAGAACATTATGCACATGGATCCACTTCTGCAATGCAGTCCCGGAACATCGCCCATTCAGGCTCAATGTCCACTGACTCCCTTGGGTTGCAGAACAAATTTTGCTGAAGATGCAAGTTGAAGATCTCCTGGACAGGGGCCTCTTCCAGATGCTCCCAGCACACCCTCACTATATGTTTAGATCCCTGCCATCTGATCCAACTGACCACCATATGGTGATCAGTTGACAGCTCAGCTCCTCTCATCACCTGAGTCTCCACGGCCACTTATAAACACCCTTATGCTCAAACATGGTGTTTGTGATTAACACAGAAGTCCAATAACAAAACACTGCTCAGGTTCAGATTGGGCAGGCTGTTCCTCCCAATCACACCCCTCCAGGTTTCACTGTCATTACTCACATGAGTGTTAAATTCTTCCAGCAGGACAGAAATTCCCCAATAAGGGCACCTTCCAGCACCACTTCTAGGGTCTCCATGACCCTGGTGTTTGGTGCATATGAGTGGAAGTTGAAGGGAGGTGACCCTCTCCCAATGAACTGGGGGACAAAAAGTAGACGTACCCCTGCTCGGCGCCTCTCACCATGGACAACTCCAGAGTGGGATAGAGTCCAGCCCCTCCCTGGGAGTTTGGTTCTGGAGCCCAAGCTGTGCGTTCATGTCAGCCTATATCTAGTCAGTATCTTTCTACCTCCAGCATCATCTCAGGCTCCTTTCCTGCCAGAGAGGCTACGTTCCACATGCACATAGCCAGATTATGCAGCTGATAATTGGTCTGCCAAGGCCCCTGCCTTCGACTGCCATACAATCTACAAAGCACCCAGTCCCCACGACCTCACCTGCATTTATATATGGTTACTGTTGTTCTGATAGATGTATGCCTTTGGTCGTTACTTAATGGCAACACTATTAGTTGTTTTACTTGGCTTGAATTATCGACACTATGAGGTATTTTATTTGGTTTGAATTATCAACACTAAGGTGTTTTATTTGGTTTGAATTATCGACACTATGAGGTGTTTTATTTGGTTTGAATTATCAACACTNTTTTATTTGGTTTGAATTATCAACACTAAGGTGTTTTATTTGGTTTGAATTATCGACACTATGAGGTGTTTTATTTGGTTTGAATTATCAACACTAAGGTGTTTTATTTGGTTTGAATTATCAACATTATGAGGTGTTTTATTTGGTTTGAATTATCGACACTATGAGGTGTTTTATTTGGTTTGAATTATCAACACTATTAGGTGTTTTATTTGGTTCGAATTATTGACACTATGAGGTGTTTTATTTGGTTTGAATTATCAACACTTTCATTTTTGTTAAAATGATTCTTTCACATCAGGCCAGAAAAAGGCCAAAGATCATTATATCAGTGATGTCATCACAGCTAATACTGATTACAACAGCAACACAGTTGTGTTGCACTCTTGGTCTTTTTTGAGTAAGCAAAGTTGCGTTTTGAGACTACATATAGCTAAACAACAACAAACAGATGATATGTACATTCCAGTTTGCATAGGGGGCAACAGTGTTCCAAGCCAAAGATCTGATTTCAAATATGCAGAAAGTTCCAGTATTGTGTGCAGGACCCATCGTCCAACACAGGATGTTCCTGTCATATGACAAGATGATGTAATTATGTCGCTGTGTCCAAACACAGCACAAAGGACAGCAAAGTGGTGACAAAAACTGCTGACCAAGCAGTTGTCATGACCGCACCATAAGATGTTTGCGGTCTGTCCAAGTAGATCCTGGTTTGTGCCACCTCTGTCACTGGACTCTCGGTGCTGGAATCAACCTCCATGGTGCTCTTGTCTTCATCTGTATAGGCCACTATGAGAAATTAAGTCAGTCAACAGCGCAGTGCTTATATTCTGTCTTGTTTCATATGGTACTGGTGGGAGCAAGTTTGTCGCAGTGCTATTTCATTGAGCCATGCATGACCATGTAAGAATATGTATAGTATTGACCTCTGTTGGGATCCCCACTCTTCAAACATTATCACAACTTGTGAAGGTGGTGTATAGGTTGTCGTGTGCGCACCATAAGGTGTTTGCTGTCTGTCCAAGTAGATCCTGGTTTGTGCCACCTCTGTCACTGGACTCTCAGTGCTGGAATCAACCTCCATGGTGCTCTTGTCTTCATCTGTATAGGCCACTATGAGAAATTAAGTCAGTCAACAGCGCAGTGCTTATATTCTGTCTTGTTTCATATGGTACTGGTGGGAGCAAGTTTGTCGCAGTGCTATTTCATTGAGCCATGCATGACCATGTAAGAATATGTATAGTATTGACCTCTGTTGGGATCCCCACTCTTCAAACATTATCACAGATTGGGAAGGTGGTGTATAGGTCTGTGTTCATAATCAGAAGTTGGCTGGGGCTGTCAGCAAGGGACTCTGGCTGAGCCTGCTCTCTGATCTGCACTTGGAGGGATGCTTGAGCTAAATGTCCCCACAATGTGATAAAAACCTGTTATTTTGACATTGTGGGGAGCGTTTTTTGGGGTCTCCACAAGGGGAAACTCAGTTTCATAAAAATCTGTGACTACAAAATGCCAAAAGTATGTTGTTTATTTACTTATGGTTAAGGTTCGCGATGGTTAGGGTTAGGAGTATCATAGTTTGGATTAGGGTTATGCCCATACAAATATGCTCTTTAACGGACTAGCATCCTGCCCCAGCTGTACCCCATCCTTATGCCCAGAGGCATAGGCTCTGTGACCCGACCAGGATGAACAGATAGATGGCGAGGCGAATGCCTTGTTTGATGCATGCCTCGGCTTATTAGTGGCAGGTAAATTGTAAATATATTAGTTATACTGAGGCAGCAAGGGAAAAGCTGGTGCTTTATACCTACCACAGATATTGTTTTTGCATTTTTGTATCTTGTCTGGACACTGAGTACATGGCTTCCCCTTTCGGTAGGGCAACTCATTTTCATAATTTCCCCTACAAGACACAGAAGGTAAAAATCTTAGTTCTCAACCAGGAACTCTATATGAACAAAGCAATAACCTGGAATGCTGCATTCAAAACTACCTTTTCAAGCACCAGTTGTACTGTACCTACCCTGGGAAGTAGTTACAGACCAATATGACTGCACGATCCAGAGAAATACCCTTCACCGTATCACAGGCATGAGATGCACAACCAATGGTGTCTGTATCTGCCCACACAACCTGAAACAGACATTTTTGTATTCAATAACTGTCGTCAACCTGATTTTAGTCATGTGTCACCTAAAGATGGGGACACATTCTGAGAAATGCATCGTTAGACGATTTTGTTGTTGTGTGAACATCATAGAGTTTACTTACACAAGCCTACATGGGAGAGCCTACGACACACCTGGGCTACAGGACACTCTAAAATTCTGATAAAAATACAGTATAGTAAATGCATAAAGGCGGGCAGGTAACATAATTGTTTATTATCACTAATATATTTGTCCATTGTTGCTCCTTGACCCGAGGTTTGACCAATGGGCAGACCCTCCTCTCCAGTACCCCGGCAAAGACCTTCCCAAGGAGGCTGAGGAGTGAGATCCCCCTGAAGTTAGAACACATCATCCAGTCCCCATTGTTAACTACTGAGACCACCACCCCATCTACCAATCCAGAGGCCTGTACAGAGATGTGGGCATTTATTCTATCATTGCTAAAAGAAGATTGTGCAGAAATGATAATAAACGAGTCATCGGAGATAAAAAGGGATTCTGTGTTTTTCTTGCTGTTTTTGGTCATCATCATGTTTCACCATTCATATGGTGTAACATGATGACTTATGATGACTCATATGTTTCACCATTACGAAAAAGCACTTTCAAGAATATTATTTATTTCAGCTTTAATGGTTTCCCTCTTGCAACGTTTTTTCTTGTTTCCTCACTCACCTGTGTGTAGTGTCCACACATCTGTTCCTCGACACAGCTGTTAGTCTCGTAGGTGAAGTGGTGGCGTTCTTCATACCAGTTGGTTAATGCTTGGCTGATGTTTAGGGCCCCACTGGTGATGTACAGGTTTTCTCCAGTATCCTCAAGGTCTGGATTATGATCCCATATGCACTGGACAGCATAATCTTTTGCAACAGACTCCAGAGAAGCATTCCAGCTCTGCAATAGTGACACAAAGCCTGTGATTCATATATTGCTTTAATTGTCCTTTCGCTCCTTTGATTAACTGCATAAATGCATAAAGCAGTTAATCCTGGGGAAATATGGCCAAAATAGCTCTCTTGGGTTTCCTTGTTATATTTAAATATATTTCCATTGTGGGAATAGAACTTGTGATGTGATATTATGAAAAAGGAAATTCAAATTTGTTTGCATCATTCGTTGCAAGTTTGATCACTTGAACACTTGAAAACTACATTAAAGAAACATCTTCCCCTTAAAATATTCTGCAGATAGACCCCCTTGAATTTAATTAAAATGTTTAAACACACATCTACATGTTTCAGGAGCTGTATTTATGTCAGGACCCCAATCCAGGATCCAGCTCAGGTCTTCAACAGAGTCAGATACCCTTCCCTGATCTTCCTCACCTGTTTATTAAATCTACATGTGTTGCATACTGTTGGAGCTGTAAGTACCAGTTGTCTGTATTATCAGTTCATTGTTACCCCTTTTCCACTGCACTGGCGCTGGTGCTTGGCCGGTGCTGAAGTTGGGAACCAACAAGAATCGGCCCGCATTTCCACTGATTTGAGAGCCCAGTGGGAGCCACAAACACATCACACACCACGCCTACTACACAAAGCAACAATGGCTTTCTTTGTTTGCTTTCTAATTTCTACTGAGCTTTGAAAGAAAATTTTCTGAAAAGTTTTCAGAATTTCCACATGAAGTATGGTACAGCTGTATTCACGCCAGTCTAAGTTTAAGGAACAATTTCAATTCATTACTTGCACACAATGCAGTGTTGCACTTCCTTTTAAAATCAGGGCTGCTCCCACACTACTGCCTGAATTACTTGAGATTAGATTTGATTATATTACATAAACTTTTCTGATCCCAGGGGGGAAATTCTTGTGCGTATAGCAGCAAGGGCACAGACGAACATGCATTTCGTGCAAAATGGACAAGGTATGCATAGTGTAAAAAGGGCAATGTAGTGCAGACAAATTAAAAAGTACACAGTGCACATAGAATCCTGAAAAACAGATTATTTTGGAATATACATTAAAGAACTAAATATTAAAATAATAAATTAGTGGAGAGTATATGAGTAATTAAACATATGGCATCTGGCTTTTATCGGGCTGATGTGTTAGGGCTGGGGGGGGGGGGGGGGGGGGGGGGGGGCTGTGGGGGGTAGCTAAAAATGAGTAGAAAACAGTGCTTTCCAAAAACAACAGAGAAATGGTTCAGTCCACTGTTGTGTCCCCGATTTTTCAGCATCATCTAATTTTGTGCTGAGTTTCCATTGCTTTCTGAGACACTGAACTAAGGAAGAAAGGGCTTGTTAGCCTCCACCATGGTAAGTTTACCGTCACCAAAAAAACATAAGTGAGTGGCAGATTCTTCACTGGAGACCCGAAAGCAGGCAGATGAGATTGGCAATGGGGCCATACCTGGGCTCTTTGAATGGACTAGCGATACAGCCCAGCAAGAGGCTGAGCATGTGAGAAAGGAGTGACAGAGACCCACTGAAATCCAGTTCATCCTGTGGATGTGAGTCTTGTGTGGGTGTTGGTATAGCCTTAATGGAATGCGGAAGTGAGTGTAAGTAGCCAATCACAGACCTTCCAGTATGCATAACTGTATATTCTGTAAAAAAATAAGACAAAGAACTTCAGCAGTTTCCTGACTGTATATGATCTCAAGCAGATGCCATGATGTACAGTGGACACCAGGGGGAGACAGTAATCATTGCAGCCATTGGATGGCTTCATACACACTGGCAAAAATGCTGGGTAGTAGAAGACAACCTGCCTACACTGTTCTACCATGCATTACAATGTCAAATACAGTGAATAGAGCCAACAGGTGACACCAAATGACATATGAAATAACTGTGTTGCTCCGTAACTAGAATATCCCATTGTTTCATAGAAAGAGAGCTCACTCACTTTACACAATCACTAAGTAATCACTGGTAAGCAGCGAGATGACCCAGCTCCTCCCCAGCCCTCCCCAAATAACCAAATACCATAAGTAACCAAACAAAATGCAAGACTTTTGACATTTTTAGTTTTTAGATTGCATTGAAAGATTTTTAGAAAATTGAGTTTCCCCTGGTGAGAACTGAAGAAGTGGTTTGCACAACGTCAAAATAACAGGTTTTTATCACAATGTGGGACATTTACTATTCTATTTTCAGGTAGGGTTAGCTGTATATTTTGTAAATATTACACATTACTAGACCTGTAACGGTACACATATTTGTCATGTACTGTTAATATTTTTCATGTTTTTTTTTTGTATTTTCAAATTACAGATTACTTATATTTTAATTAAACACATTTTCGCACACCAGTATTTTATTTTGTTATGATGAACAAATACTTGTAATTTGTAATAAGATTTTAATGTATTTGTGCCAATCTCTGGTAATAAACAAGATACATAAAACATTAAAGATGTAACAGACATTTAATCCAATTACATTAAGAAATGTGACTGGGTTGAATATTTCCTGCTAATCTGTTGAGGCGTCGATGCTGCCATCTATCAGTGCAGCGCACTGCACTATCCAGTTTAGATGTTTTTATACTTCATAGCAACAAAAACATTTTTTTGTAAAACTGTGTTAACTATGAGACTTTCTGTCAGGGTCAGCTCCTGTGGTTCCACTCTGTGTCCCTTCCCCGTTTGGCCAGCAGGTGTCGCTGGTCATGCCATCCCTCCTGTTGTCAGTCTTTCTGTTTTCCCCTGCTCCCTGTCGGCCACAAGGCTCAACGCATTGCGGCTGCCTGTGATCCCCTCTGTCTTTCGTTCGAATCCTGCCTCCTCTGTTTTTATAGATTTTGTTCCCTTGTGTTTCAATTGTATCAGTTTTCTAGTCCCTGTGTTTTCATTTGTATTCAGTTTTGGTTTTTGCTATTGATTGTGTTTTTACTTGTCAGTTTTCCCCATTGTTAGATTCTGTTTCTAGTTTGAGTTTCATGTTTTAGTTTATTAGCGTCACCTGTTGCCTGCCCTTGTGTGTTTTCCTGGTTGCTCGTTGTCCTGCACCCTCCCCGATTGGTTAATTGTCTGTTTCACTCCTGCTTGTCATTACCCTGTTCAGCTTTTCTATTGAAGTTCCTGCCTGAGTTTAGTCCCTAGTGGTTCATTGTTTGTGATAGTTGGATGTTAGTGAAGTTTTGAATATTCTGTTTATCGCCTGCCTGTCTTGACCCTTTGTAAATTTAGTCTTTGTTTATTCCCTTTTGGTTTTTGTAGTGTTCTTAGTGTTTTCTGTTTTGTTACATAAAACCCAGTCTGGTGAGCCACAAGTGGGTTGTCCACCATTTCTGCCTGTATCATGCCATGTCCTCGCTCCAAACCCGCCCGGATCCATAACACTTTCACCAAATAGTGTTGAAAATCTGATATTGACAAACCCTGTACATGCACAAAAATGACAAAATTGCTGGCTTGTACCTGGAAGTCTTCACATTATAGCATTTAAGCCTCCGTTCCATGGACCCTAACTGTAGGGTGGCCTGTGCTCCTGGGCCAAGGACACTTCCACTAAAGATTTTTTGGCCCATTAGACTTCAAAGACGTTACCATTTGAACTTGGAAGGACAAACAGCCCAGTTGGATTTGGTTTTCCAGACACAAACTGAGGCACTCGACAGGGGCTTGTGAAAGGGACTATTTATATATCAATAAACAACTGGCCATTTTCAGCAAGAAATACTGGGTATTACAGTGAATATCTGGCAGCTGGTATTTTAGATGTAGTGCAGAAACAGATGTAGACCAGAAGACCATGTTGCACAATATGGTGAAAAAGTATTCATGCCACCAGGTACTGTCAGAGTCAGCCCCTGTGGTCCTACTGTGTCCCTTCCCTGTTTGGCCAGCAGGTGTCGCTGGTCATCCCGTTCTTTATGTTAGTCTTTGTTCTACCTTGTTACCTTTCTGGTCATATGGCTCAATGTGTTGAGCGTCCAGTTGTCTGAAACCCTTCTCTCCTGTGTTCAAATCCCACCTCCTCTGTTTTTGTATTTTGCTCCCTAGTGTTTCATTTGAGTTTCTCTAGTTCTTGTGTCTGATTTTGTAGTTGGTTTTGGTTTTGTTCCTTGTGCCCCTGCTTGTGTCTTTACCTGTTAAATTCCCTAGTGTTGGTTTCTGTTTCCCTGTGTCCTTGGTTAGTTCCTAGTTTCCCTGTGTTGCTCCTTTGAGTTTATTAGTTTCACCTGTGCCCTGTTTTCCTGGTCTCTGTTAATTAGTCTCACCTGCCCTGTGTTAGTCTTATTACCCAGTTTGGTTTCTGTATTTAAGTCCCTGCTTCTGTTCTGTTCCCGAGTGGTTCATTGGTTTGTATTGATCGTGTTGGGTTAGTATTGAGATGTTTGTGTGGTGTATATTTTGCTTATTTGCCCAGTTTTTGTTATTTTGTCTTTGTTAATCCTTTTTAGTTTTTGAGCCCTCGTGGTCCTTTTGGTTTTGCTGTGTTTCTAGTGTTTTCTGTTTTGTTTAAGTAAATCCCCATCTGTCTCTGAGCTGCAAGTGGGTCGTCCACCTTTTTCTGTGTGCACTATGCCACGTTCCCGCACCCGAGCCGCCCGGATCCTTGACAGGTACTGTTTGGAGTTGCATGTTTAGCCTGGCACTAAGGAAGCAGAAGTGATAGTTTTCCTCCATGTTGTGGAAAGCTTCTCTCCAGCACTTCAGATCCCCTCACATTCTCACAGATCCACTGAATAAGCTGATATCTATCTCTAGCATGAGCCCACTCCATGTTTCACAACAAGACATTCCACACAAAATTAAACAGAACAGACAAGCTGGGGCAAAACAGAAAAGCACCCACCCTAGACAGGACACCAGTCGAGCAGGGTGTAAACTCACGAATAAAGGGCAACTTGCAGACACCAATTAAATCAATTGCATGTTTTTGACTGTGGAAGGAATCCCACAAAAATGCAGCGAAAACATGCAATGATATTTCCTGGAAG